TATCTATACCTTGACAGAATATCCTGTTTGCAGGCAGACTCCATCAAGGACAGTAATAGTAACACAGTCACATCTGATTCTCTACAGAGTGGTGGTGAAATGCTGTCCCCAGTGCCCCAATTTTGGTGAGGGATTGATATTCCTGTAACAAAAGCTGGTTTATAGTTTGATTAGAGACTTTTTTGGATCTAGTCTTGAACCAATCTAATGACGCAGGGGGCAAGCATTAACAAAAGACCTGTAACAGGAGAGGGGGTCAGGGAAGGAAGTGCCCACTCCAGAAGGGGGTTACTTGACTGCCAYCCTTCCATAGAGGAGAGCGGTTGTTTCTGATGTTCAAGGTCCTGTCGGAGTTGTTTTATCTTGTCCTTTACTATTCCAGATTGATTGACATAAAAATAGCATTTCTCCTGTTGGTACAGAAAAAGTCCGCTGCTTTYGGCAGTAAAAAGATCAAGGCCCCTTCAATTATGCAGAACCACAAGTCTTGGGAAACTATCTGTATTTTGACAGGAAAGGGAGTAAAATCACATTGTCAGGGTTATGGGTACAGATAAAACRAAAGAACTGCAGATGTTTTGTCACTCATTGTCATTTTTTCTTTTCTTATAGATGAAGTTTCTATAACTATTCTGCTATGGTTCATATAAAGCTGTGATTGTGAAAGTCTTGGTGGGGTACTTAGCCTCAAAAGATATTGAATACTTGTGTTTTTGCTTTCAGAACCCTGCCATTTTCAAGAGAACAAGCCCATCTCAGCCTGCTGGAGAAGGAGCTCTCACTGGGACGAGGATCMAGGTGCTCCAGTTGACAGTCAGCTTACCCTCTGAAGTTTAGAAATCTTATCAACTCTCAGCTAACCACATGCAGCTGAAAGACCCCCAGCTGAGTCYAGCCTAAAATGATCAGTGCACTCATGAGCTGATGTTTTAGAGAGGCTTATAATCCAGTGATAGATAACTAAGACACCTTTATAAACAAAATTGTGTCACATGTGATGCAGAAGTTATCTGGAAAATAGCACATGTGTTATAGGCATTGATTCTTCTTTTCTCCTAATTTAAAGTTAGGTCTTTCGATAGGGTATTGAATACGGAATACGTGTAGACATATATGCATATAAACAGACATCCCAGTCCTGCCATTAAGACCAAAGAAAATTGCAAAATAAAATTTCCTTTAATCTGTTTAAACGCTAGAGTCTGAACTGCTGAAAGATCTGAAGACATGGGCCCCCATCTCCTGGGACACCCATCTTCCTTTCTTTGCTGTATGACATCTGAAATGGGAGAGGACCGTGCCCAGCGCCAGGTGGGAAACAGCGGTCTGCTCTGGGACACTTCCCGTTGGGAGGTCCCGGCTCGCTCYCAGGGCAGTGTCTCTGCTATTCCTTGGCACCGAGGAAAAATATTGGCAAGGGAGTGTATTTCCTCACCTCTGGCACACAAAGGAGGCGTCCGGGAACTCCACCGGCCGGAGTCGCTGCCCCCAGCTGAGGCGGTGGCTGCCCTGGAGGATGCTCTTCCACACCCGCCAACCTCACCGGGAATTTCATGCTGTCCACATAACGACGACGCCCTGAAGAGGACGTCCTGTTAAAGTGGCCTTGGCCTGTTATTTTTAATTTTTTTTTCATGTAATAGAAAACCTAGAATCACGCGTGTGCCCACATTTTTTTTTGTGCGGGTAATCGCTGCTTTTGGGGTTTGCTTCCCAGTTCAAGGTTCACGCTGCCTCCTCCCAAGACCAGAGAGCAGAAAAGTCACATAAAAATGCAAAGTGATTGTCGTTATATGATTTCCATCCCTGGATAATATACATGCACTTATTCCATGAATTGATGCGACTATATTCGTCATAAAATACGAGTCTTCCCGGCTTGGAGCCCCCTGCTGCAGAGAACCCCTGCTGCAGGGAGGCCCTGCCTTGGAAAGGCTGTCCCCGAGCCTTTGTTCCATTCCCAGCAACTCAGAACAGCGCCGTGGGCGGCGGGCCTGTGAGTCCAGCARCCGCGCCGTTAGTGAGCGCTTGTCTCCGAGTGAGGAAAGGAAAGGCGTGGGCGGCGGCCCACGGTTAGGCGCACCCGCGTCCGACCCCAGCTCTGCCCTAACAGCGCGGGCGCGCGGAGCAGGACCGCCAGGCCGCCTTCCGCCCGGTCTTTCCGGGGTTGGACGCCCGCGCTGTCACTCAGCCCGCAGGCTCCCTAGGCTCCGGGTCAGGGTCGGGGTCGGAGGCGCTGTCCAATCAGAGGCGAGCGGGCGAGACCTGCCCAATCCGGAGCCCGCCCCGTGCGGAGAGGGCGGGCCTCGCCTCGAGGGGGCGCCTTTGTCTCGGGACCTCGCCATTCGTCGGATGCGCGGCCGGGCTGCCACCCGTCATCGGGAGACCCGAGTTCCTCTGCTGCCAGGCGCCGGAGCTCCGCGGCGGAAGGCCGGGCACCCTGCGGCCGGGAAATGGTGTGTGCGAGGGGCGTCCGCGGACAGCGCGGCGGTTCGCCTGGGCGGGCGGCGGTGGGCGCCGGAAATGGCCGAGCGGACTCCACTTACTCTCCGGCCTCCKCCCGCTCGCGGCTGGGCCCTTGGGCCGGCCCGCGAGGGAGGGTCGGCCGCGGCGTCCCCGGAACCCACAGCCGGAGCCCTGTGCGGAGGCTCAGCCTCCGCCCCCACCGAGAGGCGGCTGCGGGTGGGGACCGCGGCCTCCCCGCGAGGGCCGCTGGCCGCGGTGTTTTCGTGCGGGATTGAACCCAGGGCGCGGTGCCACCGAGCCACGTCCCAGTCCTTTTTATGTTTTATTCAGAGACTGGGTCTTGCTAAATTTCTTAGGGCCTCGCTCAGTTGCTGAGATGGCCTTCAACTCGCGGTCCTCCTGCCCCAGCCTCCCGAGCCGCCGGGTTTATGGGCGTGCACCACCGCGCATGGCCTATTTTTAATTTTTTGAAGTACGTTCATACGGTTTCCAAAAACAGCTGTACTAACTTTATGTTCTCACCAGCGGTTGTRTAAGTGTTTCCTTTTATCTATGTCTTTATACGCTGGTGTGCTTGTTATCTTTCCAAAAAAAATTTTTTTATTTGTACTAGCCATTCTAGCATCTGTAGTCAGGCTGCAGGAGGTCAGCTATCTGACTTGTGCATTGAGTTCCTGAAGCAAATTTGTTAAAATGAGAGCTGCCAGGAAGTCACTGAAAGAGCAATCTAGAGGGATCTATGATTTCTAACACCTTTTCTGCGTCACTGCTGGGGATGATAGCTCATGGAAGCTCTTGCAAAACAATAAATCCATGTTTCCAATCTGGAGATTTGGATGTGCTCTCAGCTGCTTTGGTTGGAGGTTGGAGGTTTGGGAGGTAAATGCTAAACTCTCAGGCTGTCAGTGGTTTATGCTGTATTTTTCCTATTAAATCTCTGAAGTAAGATRGAAATTCAGCGTGTCAGCCACAGCATTTGGCAGAACTTGCTGACAGGTATCTTCCAAGGGGAAGCTTAGGCGGTTGGGTTTGAAGGCTTCTGCCCTGAACCCAGGTGATGAACCCCGGGAAGTGCTTGCATGACCATAGAAAATCACCACTTTTTGATACTTAGGCAGATACTTGTTCTCCCAGCCCTATAAATTAAAATGCAAACCACAGGAAACTTGACTTAGGGTATGTATGTATACCCATTCTATACCAATGAAATGGGACATTTTGCAGTGTAGGACCATGGCCAGTGTACCCCAGATTTTCCTACTCATTTGAAAGTATATATTTTCTCAGTTGTTCAATGGATCTAATTCTTTAAACTCATTTGTGACTGTCTTAAAGGGACCCAAACATGAGCATCTATTCAGTGTAGCCATAGATGGAGGGAAAATCAGTTGTCTCATATTCTTTTCCCAAAATAATCCCCGTTAGAAAAAAGCCTTTTATGCAGAGCACCGGCTCAGGAGGATGAGAGTTCAAAGTCAGCCTCAGCAAAAGTGAGGTGCTAACTAACTCAGTGAGACCCTGTCTCTAAATAAAATACAAAATAGGGCTGGGGATGTGGTTCAGTGGCCAAGTGCTCCTGAGTTCAATCCTTGCTACCAAAAAAAAAAAAAAAGCCTCTTATTTGTGCTGCTGGTATTTAAGCCTAGGACCTTCCAATTCTGCACGTACACGGTGAACTGTTTGCCTGGCTCAACCTACTTGTACATTTGGTAATTTCATCCATTTACATCTAATGTCGTTCTAAATATATATAGTTGGACCTAACAATACAAAAATGTTTGTGTATATGTGGATTTAATTATGGATTTTGTTTGTATTATGGTTCCTTGGTCTTTATTATTGCAATATTATGGTTTTATATTATACATTAGTGCCTATAATTTATAAATTAGTGCCTATAATTTACACATTATGTATATAATTAATGTATATAGTGTATATAATTTAGGTACTGAAAACTACTTCATTTGCTGTTATAAATCAGTATGCTTTACCAYCAGGAGAATTTTAGAAAAACCTGCTTTAAACCCTTTTTCATTAAAAGATAAGCATGTTGAAATTTATTTTTTTTTAATTTTTTTTTAGTTGTAGATGGACACAATGCCTTTATCTATTTATTTTTATGTGGTGCTGAGCATCAAACCCAGTGCCTCACACTTGCTAAGCAAGTGCTCTACCACTGAGCTACAACCCCAGCCCAGCATATTAAAATTTTTTATACTATAGATTAATTTGGGGAAAATTATTATTTTTTTAGTGATGAGTTTTATCTACACATGGTATATATAATTTAGTCTTTTAAGTACTCCCAGAAATTTTTATTTCTGATGAGTATTCTACATATTTCCTTTTAAAAGATGTATGTATGTGAGGTCTCACATGAACGTGGCATCTATATAATACTTAGTGGTGTTTTCTATATTTGTTGAACCGGACCATTTTTCCCACACTGTATTATTTACCTCTTCTTTCGTGTGAGTTCTCTTTCCCCATCCTGGATTTCAGGTGTTGGGATCTATACCGCTGTATCCTTACACATGATCATCATGGTTTACTTTGCAGTCATTCCTGCAAGTCTGCTACTGGGGGGAGCTTCATGTATCTTCATTCCACTCTGTCTGCAGTTAATGAGAATTTATTTGTTCCAAATCTTCATCAACAGTGATTAATTTTATCTAATTTTATTTTTATATCTTTAATGTGTAAAGATGTTGAGCTTTTTATGATTATTGAACACAGATATTTCATATAAAGTGGCTATGCAGTCTCTTGCCTGCCTTGGTTTGGGGTCTTTATCTTTTCCTTTCTTATTAAAAGTTTAGTTATATGTGAAGTAATTAATTTCTCCTGCTGTCACTTCCTTTGTACCATTTAATGGTATCATTTGATGATGGAAATTTTATTTTAATGTTATCCAATTTGTACATTTTTTTAACATGTCTTTTTGTGTAACTTTGAAAACAAATAAATTTTTGTATGGTTCTTAGGATTGAAGCCAAGAACGTACTTCCGCTAAGCTACATCCCCAGCCCTTTTTAAAATTTTGAATTGAGACAGGACCTCACTAATTTGCCCAGGCTGGCCTTGYGATTGCAGTCCTCCTGTCTTGGCCTCACAAGTACTTGGAATTGCAGGCATATACCACCTCATCTTCCCTATAGCTCTCTTTTTTATTAAAACAAGACAAAAACTGTTAATGTTTTATATTTTGCTTGTGTTCCCACAAATGACAATTTAAAGTCTGACACCAAAAGTCAGACAAGAGCACTTTAGCTGGGGATGTGGCTCAAATGGTAGTGCGCTCGCCTGGCATGCGCGTGGCACTGGGTTCGATCCTCAGCACCACATAAAAATAAAATGAAGATGTTGTGTCCACCTAAAAATAAATATTAAAAAAAAAAAGGCACTTTAGTATAAGTGTGAGGTGAAAGTAAGTAAAAGCAGAGTGAGGCCCAGGCAGAGAGCACTGCTAAGAGCCAGGACAGTCAGGTGCGCAGCTCCTCCTTCATGTCCAGGGCCCAGGTTTTGACCCTAATTGGCCCTCTTCAGAACTGCCATGGTGGCCGTCCTGTTCAGGGCATGTCCTGTTCAGGGCATTTTATCTACAAATCATCCTCCTTTGGTTTTGGGCCCAGGCTAGTCAGAATTTACCTTAGTGCATGTTAYTAAGGAAACCTGCCTCCCTTCCAAGACTGTGGAGGCATCTGTGGCCATGACTCCTGGCTTGGCCCTGGCCTAGGTGGACCCTGTCAAGAGTTGTTAATCCTTCTTTTTTGATGCATTTCCCCAACCAGCTCCCTAATTAGCTCCTTTTATCTCTGCTTGCAACTCTCAGGTCTTTGTGCCAGGGTTTTTTTTTTGTTGTTGTTTGTTTTGTTTTTGTTTTTTTAAAGCAGCTTATCTGTAATTTATTCATCCAGGGCAGCAGTAACAAAGAACACTTTAAAAGTAATTTAAAGTAAACCAGGTGACCTTACTATGGTTCCACTGCATGTACTGACTGCTTCCTGTTAGCGATAACAACTGCTTTTCTGTTTTAACTAGTACTCTTGGAGTGTTCTTTGAAACAAGAAAACAGAAGTGTGACAACTTATTATGTAAATTTTACCAAAAGGGAAGTTAAAGGGGGCAACTGTGGGCTGGTCCCACCCTGGCCCATGGCTATCTAAGGGAGGGGTCTGAGATCTGGGGATCAGGCAGGAAAGGGATGGGCTAGGGTATGAGGTGGAGGTGTGGAGTACAGGCAGGAGGGGCTATTCAAGAAGAAAGGCCTGTGGTCTAGATGGGGTCAGGAGGATGAGCCCGGGAGGAGAGGAGAGGCGGGGCCAGCTGGGCACTGGGGTGGCAGGTTTGAGGGTCACAGTGGCAGATAAGGGTGGGGACAGTGTCCAGGGAGGCCGAGGGAGGCTGGGGAGAAGGAGAAAGTGGCGCTCTGGAGCCAGAGAGAGCCAGGAGAGGTTCCCACTGTCAAGTGTCCCCACCCCCGGTCCCTGGGGGCTTCCTGCCCCCAGCCCTTCGCCTGGGGCTCACTCTGCCACCCCATTTCCTGTCTTCTGCAGGG